CCCCTGGTGAGGGAACACGTGGGACTTGATGGTTCAATGGGGAAACATATAGGGGATGCTGCCCCCTGTGGCTCATTGAGGTACTGCAAGCTCAATAGGGAGAACAGAAGATGCATGAGTAAAGGACGCTGCCCCCAGTGGCTCACTTGTGTACTGTAGTCTAAATACAAAGTATAGCTAAATCTATGGAAAATTTGACCAAAACTGGGCCCCAGTGAATTTTCCCAGGTTTATTCCAGTCAGATAGTGAGAACTGAAAATGAAAGAAAATTAAGTCTACGCACTGCAGCTTCAAGATGGAATATGGAGGAATGGATTTGAAGAATAAGGCCTGCTGCCTCCAGTAGCTTATTTGCATTTTGCATCCCAAAGACAACGTAGTGATGAATATATGGATAGTGTGATGAAATCTGGGCTGCCGTGAATTAACATTATTGCTATAAGACCCTCAACGGTCACAGATCACAAGTCTATTCAAGTGATAGAATCTTAATTAAAAATGAAAGTGAATGGAAATGAAATTTGCTCAGGGGAGCCTCAACAGAGAGTGAGAGCAGAGGGGAAGAATGGGGTAGGCTGCCCCTAGTGGCTCAGGTGGGCACTGCAGCCTCTCTCTTCAACAGGGAGGAGAGATTTCATGGAAAGAATAGAGCATGCTGCCCCTGGTGGCGAGGCTGAGTAATGCAGCCCCAAGAGATAAGCTGGAGGAATACAAGGAAAAAATAGGGCACCACGCCCCAGTGGCTCATTAGAATAGATTTAGTTTGTCTAAGTGAAAATCAAGAGAGGTATTCAGTTAGGGGATTCAAATCTTACTGTTTTCTTTAGAATGCATTTAATATGCTTGTTAGAAATGAAATTGGGGTAATAATTATAATACGGTAAACACAGTCCACTTTCCCTGAAGTTCTCGGAGAGATATGGAAGTCACATTATGTCATACCCCTATGTATGGGGTCTTACATGACTCCTGCCCCTGTTCTTGTGTGTGTGGGGGGAGTTCTCTATTTTTACATAGTCTATATCCTATGTGATGTGTTTACTTATATTGACCACCAGGAGGCAGACATGACCAGTTTCATCCTATAGTGAACAAACAAACATAGATCTCGCTATGTACACCTGAAGAGTCCCCTATTGTAGGGGAGATGGGCGGGAGAGAAATCCAATAAATAAATAAAATAAATAAATAAAAGTCCCAATATAGGACAAATCTGGTCACATATTGCCTCGGGCTGGTCAATAACCCTCCCC